ACACACTTCGATGTATTTAAACACATATTTCCGGGTAGATTTTTTGTAAACATAATAAATAAGAGGTAGTTCAGTATTATCAAAATAGCCAGGAATTTGTTCTTTAACAGAATGATCATTAAAAATACCGGCAATATTTACAAATTCAAAACCTTTATTGACATATTCAATTTTAATAAAATGTTTTTTGTGATCTTCAGGGCGAGTCTTTATTGTTTTACTTTCAAATCTACAAATGAACCGTTTGTCGGATTGTTGAAATATACAATGTCACGTTGTAGCCTATCCATAGAGGGGCCGTATCAAAAGACATAAATAACTACCTATATAAATGATGGACAATTTTCGAGACGTTCCGAGGATCGTGATTCCGAGGATATCGAGTGGCCCATAGACACTTCCAAAACTCGCCAATATATAAGCGTGAACCCCCTCAGGGGGTCAGGGGGTTAACGCAAACATGCTACACAAAGGAACAAATGATCAGTATGCTGGAATTTCTTATTGACAACATATTTGTTTAATTTTGGATGCAGACTTTTTCAACAAATTGTCGGCGGCATTCCTATGGGAACGAACTGTGTGCCTTTCCTTGCCGACCTCTTCTTATTTTCATATGAGTCAGAGTTCCTTCAGACATTTATCAAAAACAAAAAGATCAAAGAAGCCAGATCATTTAATTTCACATTCAGATATATTGATGATGTTCTTTCCATCAACAATCCAAACTTTTCTGATTGGGTTCCATTGATATATTCTCCAGAACTAGAAATTAAAGAAACAACAGACACGGCTTCCTCCGCCTCATTTTTAGACTTTTACCTCGAATTTGACATCAGTGGTCATCCCAGTACCAGAATCTATGACAAACGTGACGATTTTAATTTTGAAATTATGAATTTCCCCCACCTTAGCAGCAAAATACCAACTTCACCTGCATATGGGATATACATTTCCCAACTCATTGTCATGAGTTTTTTTTTTCTCCTTCAAAATCTATAATAGGACATAAAAAGTAAAATAACAAAAATACCAAACTCAGTGGTTCAGATTAGACCGATAGACCCCGTTCACACTAGCGTTTTTTGAATCGATCTAAATAAAACCAGCTAGCGTTCACATTATGTTTAATCTTAACGATCTCTATAACGCTCATTTACTGATTTCACCTGTGAGTTAACAGATGTCCTCATTTTATTCTGGAGTTATTATGTCTTCTACAATTTGAACATACCCGTTGTCACCTGTGAGAAAAATATTGTATAACGAACAAACTGACTCATGATACAATACTAACTCACAGCTGATCTGTTCCTTGCTTCCTTCTGTTCTGTTCTGTTCTTGTATTGAATTTTCTTTCGCTGTCTAAGACGCCGTTCACACTTGGACATTTAGATCCATTTATCTTGAATCGGTCTAAACTAAAACATCAAAAGAGGTAGTTAAGTTTGAATCGATCTAAAGTGAACCGATCTATCTTTAAATGTGAACGCAGAGATCGAACTAAACTAATACGATTGAATCGAAAATAATTTGTGCGCATGTATGGCGGAAAAATTACACGTGCAATTTATTACAAAATTGATGACCAACATAAACATGATAAAAGGGCTGAAAATTAACGAAAACTATACGAACAGTATAGCAGTATCAACAGGAACGACCATTTAACTTCAAGGGGGGTATGGTTTTTTCCTAAAAAAATATTCTGATCCCCAATTTGATGGAAAAAAATATTGTGGTCAAGCTCCCTATTTCAAGTGAAACAATAACTTCTTCCATTATTTTTTTTGCAAGCGTGTGTATCAACACATAAATTTGATTTAATATTTCTATTTATACACAGCTAGCCTTGCATCATGACCCAATCTAAATACTTCGTCGGACTGTCGAGCAGTGGCTATTTATACACAATGTTTACAATTTCCCGGGTAATTAGGTCAGATCGATTGCATTTTTACTTGTAGTGTGAACGCAGTGGTTCAGATTACAGTTTGTTAGGATTAAAGATAATGTGAACGCTAACTGGATAAAATTCGAATATAACGGCCCAGGCCATGTGTAAATTTCCAACAAATCTATGGCTTCCACGAATAATTTCTTAAACAAAGCATGGAATCGTCACAATGTACCAGAAATTCGTGCGTATTTCAGACCAGACGCCATCTAATTATCCATCGAAAACCTCCGTCGACCTTCGATGATCAATAAAACCGATAAAAAATAGACAGTCAAGTCACAAGGACTCTGTTAGCTGATATGTATTTTTGTAAACATTGTAATTTTAAAGATTTGTTTTTCGTATTTCCTGTCTATTTGTATTAAAATTCGGCAACGTTTGCACCAAGATTTGTATGTTTACCAGCAAAGTGCAGTTTAAAATCCATGTCCTTTGAAGAAAAAAAAAGGGTAAACATACAAATCTTTATGCCAACGATGAACTTGATCTAATTTAACATGCGATTTCCCGTATCCACTAAAGTGCGCTACGGGTGTAGGTTGAATTATTGACTTGCAAGCCAATAAAACATCAGCGATGTTTGTTAGCTTATTTTGACGAAATTGAATGGAACTGACTGCTCATATATAGCTAATTATTATTTATATATTCTACTGTTATTAATGTTTGAAACAAAACAAAACATATATTTTAATATTCTGTCTGATCTGTAGTTAATGCCCCTTTAAAAGACGGTTGATTGGGGATAAAAAATAAAAATATAATGGTTTGTTCAGGTTGAGAGTTTTGATATTATACTGATTGTTTCAGGCCAATCAGCGGAAAAGTGTAACTAAATTATTGATAAATTACAGATGATTTTTGCACTTATTTATGAAGTAAAATAAAGACTCCACTTGAATATATATATGCTTATTTAATATTTGATCTTTTACTTTGAACAAAATAGATTTAAAAAAAAATCCTTAATCATTCTGATATTATTTACAGAATCATTTCATGTAGTCTATATCAAAAGTTAGAGATAAATCATTACATCTAGCATTGCTATATCGAACATTATACATAATTGTATTCATTTAGGTCAAGAACTGTGTTTTGGGTTGTGTAATATAGTGTCTGCTAAATTATTCAAGACTTAATTCATTTAACATGTTTAACCCTGCCACATTTTGTATGTGCTGTCCGAAGTTATGAGCTTGTAATTCAGTGGTTATCATATCAGTTTTTCGTTTATTTTTTGGTACATAAATCAGGCCATTTTCACTTTGGTTTTTTTTTTCATTTGTCATTTCAGGGCCTTTTATAGCTTACTATGCGGTATGAGTTTTGCTCATTGTTAAAGGCTGTACTGTGATCTATAGTTGTTAACTTCTACCTCGTTTGGTTTCTGATGAGAGTTGTCTCATTGGCAACAATACCACATGATCTTCTTACTTTTATATTAATTTAATAAGTTTTTTGGTCAATATGATTGGCATCTAAGGAGGGGAAGTCAAATAAAAGCTGCACCTTGTCTTTGATTGTTGGTTTATCCTGGAAGTTGTCAATCTAACCTGTATTGTATCAGAAAATTGAATGTTTCACCATCTTGAATATCTTACCCAAGAGGCTGTCAAATGACAGCAAACCTGGTTTTCCTTACATTTATTAGTGTCATTGTTAAAGCAATTAAGGGCCACAACTCCTGGAGGGCAAAAGTGAAAATCTTCAAAACCAATATTAACTTCCATTTTCCATTTTGTCTTGAAAAATAACAGATGTAATTTGAAAAGGATTGGATCTAGGATTTCTAAGTTATTGAATGAAATCATCAGAAAGTGTAAATTTTCAATCAATCAAGAATAGCAAAAAAGAAAACCAATATCAAACTTATCAAACAAAGCGCTTCAGACACATGAAATTTATAGTGTTGTTTTCCTTTTTTTGTCCTCCATTTTGCTATAAGTAACAACATATCAAAATGTGAAAAGAAAATGTGAAAAGAATTTGTTGAAAAGTTTTAAAGTACATGCAATTGCATGGAAACAACTGTATTTTCCAACCAATACATGTAAAGGACCATAAATCCTTAATGGCATTATTAACAACACTAGAACACACCCTTGACATCACTGGTCCGTGACTGAATTAGAGTACCTATGCCTTATTTTCTGTCTGGATTTTTTGTATCCGTATTTTCATCTGATTGTAAGGTGCACAGTTTTCTCTGCTTTCAAAATATTTCTGTTTGACCCCGTTCTGGTTTTTTAATTTTTAACTAATTAACCAAAATTAATAGTGATATTGAGTTGGAAGAAAAAAGACTTGTTAAATAGTATACTATAGTGTAACATGGATATAAAACAACTACATGTACTGGAAGAAATCCGGGTTCTCCTGATAGAGGAGGAATTTACAGAAGGTAACAGGTAACAACTGGAAACTACAAGTAACATGTGACATATATTATTGGTAATGGTATCGGATTCGACCCGGAACTTGTTAAATATTGGTAATATTAATTATGTGGAAAACAAGGGCTTGGAATGGTGTAATTTCTAAATAATATATTAGTCCTATATTAGTTATATATAAAGTTGAATTCTTTGATTAGTTGTTTTTACGTCGTGCCGGCTAACAAATTGGACCTCGATATTTTAGTAGTATAGATTTTAACTTAAAAAGCATTGGTCAAACACTTATCAAATTAATGCGAGGAAAGAGTTTTAGTCATCCTCCAGGCCTCCTTCATGCATAACAGGATTTTTCTGTCCACAGAACAGGTTTAATAATTATTCAAACGTGTACACAAAATGAGATGCAAATCCTCTTTGAATATACAAACATCCTAGAAAATTTGAGGGCTTTGGTTTATACCTGTGGAAAGATACTATTAAATGAAAAATGTAACTGTAAAATTTTAGTAAATGTGTCTTAAGAACAACAAATTAATTTTGGTAGATAAATCTATATGAAGCTGATCTAGTCACAAAAAGTTCACATTGTCGACAAACCTTTTTCAAGTAACTGATGAGGTGAAGAAGGCTCATACAATAAAATGTTTACAAACTTTATTAAAACAATAGATATCATAAAACATGACTACATATCTCTGAAATCACACCTTCAAGATGTTACCCGATTCCTTGCAGAACTGAAGTATTGTAGACAGATTATTTAGAAAACAAACTGATTATCAAAACTACAAAACTTCAGAGACATTATAAAAAACAAAAGAGTTATTAATATGTGAAACTTTTACCAAATTCATATTATTGCTGAAATATCATTCCTTGTGAATACATTAGTAGAACCTAACAGTAGCACTTTAATCTGAACACATGATGATTTCAATTCGAAACAAGTATTTTTTAGCACTTAACAGATTTCAGTATCATTCTTTTGAGACATACATTGTGTGAGAACATTCTGTTACCACTTCTCATCAGCCTAATAACAATGCCTAATAAGGATGTGTCGTCTGCCATGACTCAACTTCCTCATATGGACGTGTCAACTGCTGTGACATGTACATGTAACAGTGTCACTCATTTACAACTATCCTAATATCAAATAGATCACAGAAAAATAAGAAAATAAGCTCAGAAATCGTCAATATTACATGTATGATGTTGCTAAATAAGGAAAATATCTATAGAAGATATGTCAGTGAAAGGCATCATGGGTAGTGATTTAAATGTCCATCTCAAACTGAGGCTGGTCTTCATGTGCTTCTAAAAAATAAAATAATGTATTTCACACATTGTACATGTTTTAATAATAATATTGTTTTCTAACTACTTTAAAAAGTGATGCCATACACATTTTTTTTGTTTCCCTGCAGTAAAATCTACTTTGACAGCAATTCTTTGTGCCGTTTTATGATAGTGGGTATACAGTTATTGGAGTGCTGAATGGATATTTCTGCACATTGTTAATTTCATGATTGATGTCTGCTTCACCATGCTACATCACAGTACATGTAGATTCTTTGTTGTCAATGTTCCATTTTGATATTGTTTATTTGTGTTGTTTAGTAACAATCCTATTTTTTGAATTTTAGAGTTATAAAATATCTTATCTGTAGTGCAAAAGGCTATATTGAAGTGAGATCTTATTTGTATAGTTTGACAAATCCACGAATTTCATTAACTTCTGTGTAAAATAGTACTTAATAGTTATGTTTAACTTCTGTGCAGTGTTTTAAAAGTTAATTACATTGTTGTATATAGTTTAGTTGCTTTAATGTTGAAAATACATTTCTGTATAGTTTAGCTACAAATTTCTGCAGTTTAGTTACTGCACTGTTAGAATCATGCTAATGCAACACTACAATGTAACAGTTCTACTGGAGAATAGAATAGTTTCAGTGAAACACTATAAAGAAACATGAGTTAGTAACAGCTGTTTATTACTAAACACTTGTGAATGACTGTTCCCCTTAGTTATTCATTACCAACAAGAATGACTTCCACTGAATAACCTTGTGTGTGTGTATATTGTACCTACCAATGTATGTTTACACCCCTGAGGACTATCAGTATTATATATAGTATATATCAATACTGCAGGGGTCATTTTTGCAAAACATGTTACTTGGGGTGACCTGTAATTTATGTTCTGTCTTTTGTCTGTTGGTCTTTATGGGTATTTGTATCAAAGGCAATCATACCACATCTCCTTATTTCTATCATTATATTTAATTTCTTAAATTCTGTTCTTAAAACATGTAGATTCATTATATTTTTTGTGCACAAATCGAGCAAAAATATCAAATTACACAGACATGTTAAATTTTTACAAGTAATCTAACCTCTTTTTTCAAATAATAGCAGTTCTACATAACTATTGTTGAAGAACATAATTCAGATGAACTTTTCATTTTATCTTTTATTCAGAATGTACTTACTGTCTTTTTTCTGAGCTGGGATATTTTCTGTGCCATTTTCTTTAGGAACATCTACCTCCCCAGGACAAGTTACCCCTGGAATCTTTGCCATATTTGGTGGAGGACTTCTAGTTAGTGGGGAGTTCCTACACTGCATCAAGAAATTCCTCTCGTAAAAAATCTTTGTTCCTAAAAATTAAAATAGGATGATATAGTTCTCTAGATATAGAGCGGACACAATTTGTTACCGACGGACAGACTTTCAGACTGATCACTATAGGGCGTCCACCATTCGGTGGGGCCCTAATAAAAACTAGAAAAAAAAATAAAGAAAAATAAGTCAAGATTTCTTAATGTGGTCTTACAAAGGTTATCTGTAAATCTGTCCCTCCTACTCAAGAGCTAGTGAAGCACTGAAATCCTTGGCTAGCAAAGTCTAAGAGACGTTCACCGCAAGGACACATGTACATGTACATACAAATGTAATGTTTCCCACAAGATGGGTTAATGACATGAACGGTAAACATGTACATTTGTAAATAAACAACATATATAATTCCATACACTGAATTTGTTATTCAAAATAAGAAAATGAGAAATTGAAAACATGCCTGGTAAAATACATGTAGGATACAATTTTTATAACTTATGTTTATTTCTGCTTTATTTATTTTCCATTGTTCAAATCAATGAATGATATAACAGTAAAATGACTCATGAGAAAATAACAGATGTTAATAATATACCAAATTTCAAACTCAAGGGTGAACCTGAATAATATTAAATGCTGTCAGAAACTTTAATAAAACAATTTTTATACATTTTATATCATCAGTCCACTACTTCATTACAGACTATACATGTATATATATATATAGCTTGATTGTCATATCAGAACTAGAGAACACTCAACAAAAATAATCACCTTGCTCTGGTTTATATCCACATATTAATATATATATAAGTAAGCAGATCAGGTCAATGACTCTTGTTTTAATTAATCAAAGAGCACAAGTGCTGCAATTTGTTATTTAAGGAATGATGACATGTTTACAATTGCATAAGGTACATGTAGCATCATGCAATTACTCAATAGCATAAACAAATTATATTTCGTAGTAATACATGTATATTTACACCTGAAAACTAATGATAAAATTGATGTATCAATATGGGGTACCTAAAGTACAATGATCGACCTATATATGTATAAAATTACTAGGTCAATTTATTTTGGTTAAACAGAGTACAATAAACAAGTTTTATGGGTAATAATTATTGCATCATAACTTTTGTTATCCTACATTTGTATGCAATGACTTATTTATGTACAGTGATGTAAGCAGTGCAATACATTAAATTTAATTTTGTGATCAGACAAAGTACATGTATAGTAGATAGTCATGACAGTACGAGTGTTAAAAATAGGGAAAATCACAAAAGTACCGAACTCCAAGGAAAATTCCAAAGAAAATTTAAAACGAAAAGTCCTTTATCAAATGGCAAAATCAAAAGCTCAAACACATCAAATGAATGGAAAACAACTGTCATATTCCTTAATTGGTACAGATATTTCCTTATGTAGAAAATGGTGGATTAAACCTAGTTTTATAGCTAGCTAAACCTCTCACTTTTTTGACAGTTGCATAGAATTCCTTTAAATTGACAACAATGTGTGAGCAAAACAAACAGACTCAACAGGTAAAAATGTTTAATATTGGGGTACAGCAGTCAGCACTGTGTTATAATCATAATCACTATTAACTAATTCAATAATTTATGTACTCCATTTAATCTATTGTTTAATTTCTTAATAGACAAATTCTACATGACATGTGAAACCCCTAGTTCAGGTTAATCTTTAGGTTTTTTAAAAGGCCTCTCCACAGCAAAATTATTCTGAAAAAGCAATAATCTTAAATTTTACATATACAAATTGTTTAGATATAGAATATTATTATTGATCTTTTACATTATCTTTGTATACACATACTTATTGCCACTGTGTGTATGTACTCTAGGGATAATCATATTCAAACGTTAATTAAATAAACAAAAACAAACTTTACATCGACCTGTGTATGAAGCAAAGTTACTGTGACCTAAATCATGAATGACATAATATGGGTCACATGGCTGCAAAAACATTAGTAAGTCGCCATTTTGAAATAAACATGCTTGTTTACAAACAACAATAATCTGCATACTCTATCACAACTTATATTACTGTTCCAGAAATGCATTTGCAAATGAAATTATATCATGGAAATAAATAAAACTATAAAAGAAGACATATGCTTACCTCCTGGAGTTGTAGAAAATAGCGAACCGCCTGGTGTCGTACTGTAATCATTTGGAAGCTGTGATAAATCATTTAGTACTACGCGTCTGGGAATGCTCTGTCCTTTAACATGTTGTTGAGGAGACCCAGATTTTGACATATTAAGGTTAATTAACGAAAAGTGTTTAAAAGTACGTCCAAGCCTTCTCTCCTTCACTTCTGTCTGTCTGTAGAATGTTGTACTCTCGTTCACCTCCGACCAAAACACAAACAAGTCACATGGCAAATTGACCTCGTAATTTCCGACATATCTACGGAAGTAAACGAATTGGTCATCTTCCTTGTTTACGTTATTATAGTTCGTGAGGCGGTTAAATTTAAATTAGTTTAATGTAATGAAATAATAATAAAAAAAAAATGCATGAAAGCAGAGACATATATATATATATGTCAAACATGTTTAAATATTAATTGGTCCCAGGTTGGTTACACATTTAAAAAAAAAAAAGAACAGTTGTACACAAAGTATTTTAATGATTACAATGTTGATTTCATTTTGAATTTGCACCATTCTGACAAGGATTTGTACATTTCCAGAGATTATCATAGATGTCTGTTGATACAGCAGATAATAATAATCTCAGTCCATACTGAGAAATAATCAGATTTTTATTCAGTATTGCTGAGACTACTATATTAAACCAGGAACCTGAGACTACTATAACACAGTGTTATAGTAGTCTCAGCAGGAACATATATATTAGATATACTGTTCCCAGATTAAACACAGAAGTGTCAGAGTATATTTAAAGCTATGGCAGGCTTTTTTAGGTCACCTGGCTCAATTGACCCCTTTAAGGAGTTATTGCCCTTGAAAGACTATATCTTTATTACAGTTTTTATTCCAGAAACAATGATAGATAGACAGAAACTTCAAACCGCAAAATATTTAGCAAAGTAATATATAAGACAAACAAATAAGTCAACATGACCGAAAATATCAATTGATTCCTTATGGGAGTTATTCCCCTTAAAAGATGATTTTTATCAATTTCTTTAGGTTTTTTTATATGATACATAGAGAGAATCTTCTAAAGCCATGTTTAAACACGTATTAATATCAATTAACAAAATAATCATGTATGCAAGATCTATACAAACAATTCCATGTGAGCGATTCAGGCTCTTAGGAGCCTTTAGTTGTAGCCTGACAAAGTAATATTTCCAGATGAACTGAAAAATTAATTCCAGAGAAGGTGCGATTTTCATCCATTTCTGATGAACCTCCTCTCGGAAATAATCAGTGATTAGCAGATTAGTGGATATTTTCGTAAGCCCACATATGCCATTAGAATTTACCTTAGATGACAAGAGGTAAACTGATACGTAAATGCATAAGTATTTTATACCATATGCGTATTGAGCAATTTAACAATATCAACAATATTGATTGGGGTATGGAAAAGTGGTTTCTTTTGTCTCCTTCCGACAGGCAATAAAACCCTACCTGCCAAAGTGGGTGCCCGTTTGGCTGTGCGGGATATTTGAGGGGTCTATATATAGGTAGCTTGTTGCAAGGCAAAATGTCTCGGCCCCTATCCAGCATATCATTGTTTTCCAGTGGCAGTTCAAATTTCCCGCCGTTCATCCCGGTCGACCCATATTACAGGACCTACCTATTGTACTTGCATGAAATATTTGCCACTGGAAAAACAACAAACACAAATCAATCAATCAATCAATTAAAGTGACGATGAATAACCGTGTGAATTTTCACAAGTAATAATTCTTCTTTAAAATTCAGCACTCCATGCATCAGTAAACTGATGATAACGTGCCGGGCACTGATTTTACTATGCCGCGCGTGCGTTGGATCCAATTTCTATCAGAAACATATATTCACACATGTGTATATATGAAAGACTAAGATCGACGTCCGTCTCTAATCGAAGTCCATATTACTCAAATCTACGTCCAAATCTGACGTCACGATAAAATAAGATTCCAAATCGACAATGATAAAAACCCATACCGTAAAGTCGGCTATAAAAGACCCCGACATGAAAAATGTAAAACAATTCAAACTAGAAAACTAACGACCTTATTGATAACAAAACAATTCCGAAATCAAATATGACAGACATAAACCAACGGCAACCACTGACCTACAGGTTCCTGTATTGGGACAGGCACATAAAGAATATGACGGGGTTAATAGATATAAGAAGATGTGGTATGAGTGACAATGAGACAACTCCCCATCCAAGTCACAATTTGTAAAAGTAAACCATTATAGGTCAAAGTACGGCCTTCAACACGGAGCCTTAGCTCACACCGAACAGCAAGCTATAAAGGGCCCCAAAAATGACTAGTGTAAAACCATTCAAACAGGAAAACCAACGGTCTAATCTATATGAAAAACGAGAAACACTAATGAACCACATCAACAAACGACAACTTCTGAACATCAGGTTCCTGACTTAGGACAAGTGCAAACAAATGCAGCGGGTTTAAACGTTTTAATAGGCGCCAACCTTCACCCTACCTGAAACAATAGTGTAACATCACAACATAGAAAGACACACTATAAAATATCAATTGAAATGGCTTAACTCAATCAAAAGACATATCAACAAAAACAAGTGAACATACACGGAACGAATAAATTTGATCTATGACACAATGTAAATACAAAATTAATAAAACAAGGGGGTAGATGTAAAACAATATCAGAAAGACAACCATAACCTTGAACAAAATGACGTACATAGGTATAAAAAATAATTTTGTTGTAAGGCATACATGGAGTACGGAAATAATTTTGTTGGTCCTAGTACGAGAACAAAAGTGAATACTGAACACTTATCAAAGGTGGTACCGGTATATATTAAAAATAGTGAGACGAGATATAACACTAAGTAAGTACACATTGAATAACAAAAATACATTACAAATTGTATCAACAGGTCAAATTAACACGAAAGTACGATTTGAGAGTACTTGCAGTTACTGAAAGCTAGTTAAAAGACAGCCAGTACGATAGGTAAGTTAGGAGTTAACCTGTTAATAAATATGTATAATGTATAAAAAATGTTTGTGAGCGCTAACCCCCACCCACCCCCTAACCTGGAACAGTGGTGTGACAGCACAACACAATATAAAAGCCTATTTCTTTTGTATATGTTTCACTCCAGGTGTAAAATCAGAAATTTGTTGAAAAATATGTTACAGAGTCCGATTTATAATACTCTCAAAACAATTGGCTGTACTTCTTTATTTTTTCTATTGTTGAAGACTAGATGTTGCCTTCTAGATGTCGTTTGGTTTTCTTTGTCGTTGGGTTGTTTTCTAATTGACGTATACTCACATGTCATTTATTAATATGAATATGAATGACATAAGATACTGTAGATCGATTGGATTAACCTCTATTAAGATAAATATTAATATACATGTATATGTAATAAGATGTCGGTGGTAGTCTTGTTGCCTTTTATCAATGTTAGTCCTTTTACTTTGTTTGAGTTGATTCTTTGGGAAAAGATATAACTGACTTTGTTGTTCCTTCTCATACGTCTACTATTACAATTCGTAATGTATAAAGACAATTATAGTTTCTTTTAAAAAACATAAATTCAAAACGATACAGAAGATATAAATAAAGATCAATCTAATAACAATAATGCTGCGTCGGATAGAAATCGACCTTATGCAAAGGAATATCAATACATCTGTTATCTATTTTGGGTTGAACAAAGCTTTTTGGAAAGTCTGTAACTGTTTGAAAATTTAGTTGTTATAAGAACCCTACAAAAAGACAAAATTTCATCTTTTATGTCGTATTTGAAAGTTCTAAAATCAATCAAAGTCTTATTCATGTACATGTATAGTGCAGTAATTTATTATTTATGGATTGACTGTAATATTTTTTTCTGTCTATGAAGAAATAACATCAAAAATGTGGTGCACACTGAATAACCGGCGTAGCGAGTTATTTAAAAGTAGCAACACATTTTTGAGGTTATTTCAAATAGACAGAAAAAATATTACAGTCATTCCTTATAATTTAATTCTAAATTCCATTTTTAAGAAGTAAATCATGAAAAAAAAGTTGATGACGTCAAGGGCAATTGACAAAATTATGTCTATGAGGTGATAGACAAAAAAATTCAGCTAATCAGAAGACGTGTTACATTCAAAATTTTAAATTATTTATTGATATTGGACATCGATTAGCATGTAGAGAAGAAGGCTATAATCGATCGAATGTCGTTTTCGAACTATGTCTGTAAGAGTAATTGTGTGAATGTTGTCTTGTTCTTATGTCGGATTGGGTTAGTAAACCTATCGGGTTATATATATGGCTAAAATATGGTGTATGATTTTGTAAAAGAAGATGATGCGTGTTCTTATTCGCCTTTTCTCAAGAGTCGTCCAATTTAGTGCTTGCAGCATTTTAGTGACTGCGCTGGTGTTATATGGTATCTGTTGCGTGTGTACCTAGCTGCTCTGCGCTGGTCCATCTCAAGTTTGTGTGTTTGTGATTTGGTTATGTGGGTCCTAGACGCAGTTGCTGTATTCTAACGTTGTTCTTATAAGTGAAGTATATGCTTTTTTTACTGTATTTTAATTGACCTTTAGGTTTCTCTGTATGAAGTTTAGCTTTTGTGTGACTGTAGCTGTGATATTATTTACATGTTTGTTCCATTTTAGGTCTGTTTGTACTGTATAATTATAGAAATTATCAATATCGATATTATGAATTATAATATGCCGCAACCGTTTGGAAGATATTTTAATAAATGTTAATGAAGAAAGCAACTGCATGTTTTACTAACGAACGAACACATCGACAGATTAAATAGACAATATTCGTACATTGTAGGAAAATATATTGTATAATTTATTTGTACCTGGGACTATTACACTAACTATACTAGTCCTGGTTTGTACGAGCATTAGAAACAGAGAGATACGCGAGGCTCAATGTAGGAATATTGTTTTTATCCTGCAGTTTAACATTAAAAGTATATATATTTTTTGTTCCAAACAGTTGCACCTTTTAAAATGAAATCCACAAGACTTTCTTTATGGAAAGGAACCAAGGTTAAATCTGATTTCGCATGTTGTAATTCAATGCAATACAACCTCGCCGTAAATGTAACGAAAACCTCAAGCAGTTACTGTTAAAAAACGTAAATGTCAACGCGGACCGCAATAGGGACACCCAAATTGAACTGTGAGGTAACCAGTAATCTGAATGTGACCGTTCTCCCCGCAGCAGAAGTATGATACCAGGAGA